GCCCAAGCCATGGCCCCCCTGCGAACCATGGACTTCCTACATTGTCATGGACTTCCCGTCAGCCATGGACAACCTCAGCCGCCACCACCTCAGGTCAACCAAGGTGTTGCTCCGCAAGCACAGATGACTGCCCCCGGGAACCTTACTGTCGACTCCAGCTTGGAAGACGATGCGGTGGAGGATGAGGAGGAGCATGTGTCAAAACGACAGAGGCTGGAAGACATTCAAGAACCGACACTAGAGGACGAAGCTGTGTTACACGTTCTTTCTGGCCATAACAATTCGGAAACGCCAGACGAATATACCGGCGAGTAAGTCCAACTTGATCCCTCCTTTAACTGCATCCCTATGCTAACACATATCACAGATACGAGTACGGCGATGCTTAGTCTTTTATGACCGACTGGCGGTGACACTCAGGTCTCGGAGATGGTGTGCTCCGACGACCACCATGTAATACGTCTTTCCGTTTTAGTGGTGGGGGTTATAGGGATGAGGGTCTTAGGGATCGACGGCCCGGCTAATGATCGGCTCCATGGAAGCTGCAATGGCCAACCGCAACGGATGTAAGATGGTGCTGAGGAACGGCAACCCCGGCGCGGGTTTGGAGTTTTATCAAGTCCTTATATAATGTACAGTTTCTTTTTATTTAGGGCAGGATCAATCACACAAACACAAAGTGGTCTCAACATCCTAACTAGTCGTGGCTTTTTTATGACTGACATACCAGTTCTCAAGTCCCAGCAACGTCTCGCTGTTCCTGCTCCTGGCAAACCGACCCCCTCTATTTTCAACTTGGAAGACGTGTCAGCAACGTGTTTGTATACCCCGTGGGGTGTCGAACGGCCACCCCTCGTTCAAGCCTGGTCGGCCTCTCAACGCCATGGTTCCTCGGCGGCTTGTTCACCACGACAGGGCTACGCCTCCACCTGATTAACAGATCAAAGCCCATCCCCATGGTGCCGTCACTTGGGCATTGTTTAGTAGTGAAATACATTCTCTTTCCTTCTCGCTTGATTCACAAGAGTACCTACGTCTGCCCCTATTCCCCACCCCTCTTGGAACTGCTGTGCAGCAAGTGCACCGAGAACACTGGGTTTACTTGAGATGGATACCCGGTTTTACGGGGCCAGGTTTTGTTGTCGAGTTCTTCGTGCTCTGTTGCCATTTCCGCTCCTTCACCTCCCCTTCGACTCCCCCACAAACCGAAGACCGATTCCTCAAAACCACATCACATCATAACATCGCAACACATCAAGACGCAATTAGCGTACCAACTTCACCATAACTACATTTCCTCGTTGCCACAATGCCTAAGTGGGAAGAGATCAGAGAGGACCTGTTTGAGGCTGTCATGCAGGTGCACCCGGCCATGAACAAGGAACAGCAGGCCGACGTCGTGAGAATCATGCGCTCCAAGGGGCATGAGATGGGCTGGAACGCCATTCGGTATGTTCTACTCTTTCCTTTTCTTTTCAAGCCTGTTTAAGCCATACATTTCGGAAAGAAGTCTTCTTTTCGGCTGTCATCCGAGCAAGTGCGTTGGCTTGAGGGTATATTTATATTTGGGGTTTCTCCCTCCTCAAGGCATTATTTCCTGGCATCTTCCCATAACCTTCCTGTCCTCTTCGCTTCCTCTCTCCTCCTCAGACTCCTTGCAACCAACACACAATTCTTCAACATTCCTGTTTCACCTCCCCGCGAAGCGTATCACAGCGAGTCAGATATACCGCAGACACCATGCCGAGAACCTTGCAAAATTGGGATTCCGAGACGCACGAGGCTGTGCTCTTGGCCCTAATCGAGCACATGAGGCCTAATGGCAGCGACTGGAGTGCGGTGGTGGCTTCTCTGCATCAGAAGGGCTACACGTTCACTGAGGGGGCTCTAGTGTAGGTCTTCAGTCAGGAGAGGATTCCTTACGGGGGTATCACTCCTCCCTGCCCTCCTTTCCTGCCCTCCTTTCCTGCCCTCTTCCTATTTATTTCCCTTCTCATTCTCTTCTCTTCCCTTTCTCCTCTCCCCAGACTTTCAGTCTTGCAACCCACACCACAAGCAAAGTTCTCAGAACCCTTCGTTTTCACCTATTTTTACCTTTCACTACAAACATCACAAATCCTGTTATAAATACACCACTTTGCAAGTTTGCATACGCATCGCCATCATGTCGAAGCAGCCGACGATTTGGGACCACGATGCCCATCTTGCGCTTCTCCAGGCGATTATGGCCGAGGCTCCCCCTCTTCCCGCCGAATGGGATAAGATCCTGGATCGAGTCACCAAAAAGGGTTATTCCTACACTGCGAGCGCAGCCATGTAATTTATCCCCCCACTTGAGCACGCCGGTCTCTGAGCACAGCGACCTCTTTTCCCCTCCATCTTCCCTCTTCCTCCCCGTTCTCTTCCCTGTTTCCTTCTCTCAAAGTCCATCGCAACTCCAACACTTTCATTTCCACCACCCACCCTCTTCTTCAAACCACTCTCAAGCGGCATCCACCATCAGCGATCAAACAAACAACGGCAGCCAGCCAGCCAAAAAAGCAATCAGTCAAAATGTCTGAACGCATGAACTGGGACCACCACGCCGACCATGACCTTCTCACGGCCATGATGCAGGAACTCCAGCCCTCGCAGGAGCAGCTGCGCGGTGTCATGACCCGCATGCACGGCTTTGGCTACACCTGCACCGTCAAAGCCATCACGTACTGCCTGCCTGCCTTCTTTCCCACTCATCAATCATCAATCATCACTTCCTCCGCCCCAGCACCCACCCCAATTAATCAGACCAGACCCGCTAACCACTCCCCACCCCAACACACAGCCAGCACCTCCAAAAACTCCGCCGCAAGGAAGACAAGGCCGGCGCCGGCGCCGGCAACAGCAACGGCGAGGGCCCGGCCACGCCCAAGACCCCCGGCGGCCGCAAGAAGAACGCGGGCGGCAGCGTCAAGAAGGAGCCCGGCTCCGGCACCAAGCGCAAGCCGGTCGCGCTGCTCAGCGACGACGAGGATGTCAAGCCCGCTGTGAAGGTCAAGAAGATGAAGGAGGAGGAGGGCGTTAAGGAGGAGTCGGATGGGTGAGTGGCGCGTTGCGTGTTGGTGGTGTTTTTGTTTGCTTGCTTGCTTCTGCTTTTTATGGGGGTGGGAGGGTTTGATCGGCTGGCTAATCGTGGATTGTGGGTGGGGAGTTAGCAGCTCTGGCGGTTACGTCTAGGTCTCCTTGGGATCGGCCCCCCGCGACTCGGCAGAACATCCGGTCTCCGTCTCTCTCTCTTTCGGCTGAGATTTGGCCGTTGCTTCTTTTTTGGGGGGAGATCTCGAGTTTGGCGGCAATTTGCATTGCGTTACATTTCACCACCGCTATGGTTCAGCCGAGAGGAGGGCTTTTTTCTGGCAATCTGGAGAGGCGTCTGGCATGGGGAACTCGGTTTTGGGACGCGCTTTGCTCTTTGGAGGAGTCAAACGGGGTTTTGAGGGATGGGTTCTGCTGGCATTGGGAAGGCTCTCTGCTCGGTCTCGGTGGATTATCGGCGTGGGTGTGCCCCATTCTTTGCTTATGTCTCTCCCCGGTCATCTCTGGATCAGGGCTTGCTTGGTCCCCGTTTAATTACCGGGGGCAAATGGGACAGTTCTGATCAGTATCATGGGTTCACATATTGAGTGACTGTGATTTATGTCTGTGGTAAGAATCGTTGCCTACCTAGCTTCAAGCTTAGGGCTGTGGCAACTCCCTCCCTCCCCGGAGTTCTCGAAGCCAGAAACCGAGTCCTTCCCGCGTCAACACCACAGCTTAGCGGTCCCAGAATAATATCTATTTATGGGAACCGCTTGATCCTGAGGTAAAATTTTAATGTCACCCATTGAACTCCTCCTTTGTGTTGTGCTTGTGGACAGACCTGTCAAATAAATTCGTATTTACTTTCACGCATCATCATGCCAGGTGATCTGAGACTCAAAGAAGTACCATAAAATCACATCTAGATAACTAATCTCTTTACTTTTCATTGCATTTTCTCAATCGAACTTGGTCTGACAGTCACCATTTAACCCATGGCTAACATGAGCTGAGTTTGAAAGAAAGGAGGTGCCAAGGCTCGTTGCCGGGCAACGAGTCTGAACAACCCAGTCACCAATCAACATTAAGGGGTGGTTCCATGGCGAGGTCCTGATCAGCGGTTGGTGGGTGGAGGTGGCCATGAGCATGCTCTGGAGGGCGACAGTAAATGAAGCCGATATTTGGCAGACTCATGTTTGGAATGTACTGTGTAGGTAGTTATATGGACCAAGTGAGTTATGAAAGCTTCGTTCATCGTGCACCTGGCCTTTTCCTCCGGAAATCTCGAGGACAGGCTGGATCAATGCCAAAGCATAACCATGTAGGTTTCCCGTATCTGTATCTCAGCCACATACAGGGTCAATCCGTCTAGAGGTAGAAGTGGTGACGATTGATGATAAGCGCTGGGAACGGGATGCTACACGTACGATGCAGCTAAAAATTACAAAACGCGTCGTGCGTTAAAGTGGTTACTGCGCTGCGAACGATGGAGTTGTGTGTCGCCGTGGGCTCGAGGCTCGAACAATGGTATCGCCAGTCTAGTCGTGGCGGGGCAAAGCAGTTAAGCAGTTGAAACAGCCAAACCCATTCTGTTTCTCACTTACCGGAGCATGGCATGGCGAGGAGGCCGAGACATTGTAGGGCGCTTGGTCTATCTCGGTTAACGCAAGGTCAAGTCTTTGGGCTCTCTGCTCTCGTGGTCTTGATGAAGTGGGCAGGATGCAGCTTCACTCAAGTTGGAAGCAGTAAGAGGTATTTATCCGGGAGGAACGGCCTGCAGTCACACAAATAGAGCTACCAATTACGATGTCACACATGGATCAAGATATGAGTGAGAGACTTTAGTATTCCCTACTCCCGCATATCGAGGCCCTAGACGATTACCCGCCAGGTATGTGAACAAGCAAACCCGATCCGATGAATCAGGCAGACAGACCACCCAAATGACCACCCCGTGATTCCCAACCCCTCCAACTCAAACCCCGTTCCTTTTCCAACCCCAAACCGAACCAAAGTCTGGTCTTCCAAGTTGATAGTAAGCGAGAATCTGAGCCGACCAAGTCGAAGAAGCGGATGGGACAGGGCGTCCTAGGCAGCCCGCGCAAACAAAAGCAGAAACGTCCCTTCCCACAGCCCCAACACCCGTGATCAGAGTCATGGGAAGAAAAGGAAAGAGGGGAAGGCAGTGAAACAACAGCAAGACAAATGAAACAGCGATTGAAGAGAGCGCCACAGCTCCCAGACCCTCAGGTCGGCACAAAGAACGAGGTGGTCTACACCACCGCCATGTCAGCACCCGAGTCCTCATCCGCAATCATGCTCGGAACCGGAGACAGAGGCGAGTCAACCTCCATTGCAGTCGAGCTCTTGGCCTTCTTGGTAGGGGAAGCCATGTCCTCGTCGCTAGCAGCAGGGGACGAGCCTTCACCAGCGGTGGAAGCAGCGGCGCGCTTCTTGCCGGCGGCGGAAGCGGGGGTGGCGGAAGGGGGGGTGGCGGCAGCGGACGCAGCAGCCGGCTTGCGGCCGCGCTTGGCCGGAGTGGCGGGGGCGGACTTCGGCTCGGTCTCCTTGTCGTTGTACTCGTCGTCATCATCAGCGTTGTCGGTCTTGGTGGCGGCCTTGGCGGTGGTCGCCTTCTTGCCACCCTTGCGGGCGCTGCCGGGAGCCTCGGCCTCCTCGGCCAGGGTGATGTTGAACTTTTGACGCATCAGACGCCAGCGCTCGGTGGCGCCTGTTTTTGGTGGGGAGAGAGTTTGTTAGTGGTGGGTTCTAAGGGGGTTTGCTTGTGAGGGGTGGTTGGAAGGGTATTGGGATGCTCGCCGTTGGGAATGTTGGGAAAGGACAGGAGGTTAAGGCTTTGCCGTAACAAGTGCCACAGAGCGGAGAAAAAGCACATCGAAGGCAGACTCGGCGGCAACAAGTAAGCCAAACAGACTTACTCTTCTTGCCACCCATGCCCATGGTGGCGGCCAACTCGTCCCAGTTGACCTCCGGCTTGGACTTGAGGTTACCGATGAAGGCGAAAATAAATTTAATGTCGTTAGCAGTCGGAATGACGCCGTTGATAGTGCCCGCAGAGGCACAAGGCTGACCATCGCCAGCAGCATCAGCGGCCGCCGCAGTCTTAGCAGGGCGCGGCATTGTGAGTTGTTTCTGCTTGCTCGTCAGCTAGGTATTCTCCCAAACTCGGGATTTGCGCGTGAAGATGAATCCAGCGCAAGGCAATTTGCAGTGTCTTGCCATCCCATGAGTGGAATGGACTCTTGAGATGGATGATTGGAGAGATGGGGCATTGTTACTTACGAAGGTTTATGCGAACGGTGGTGAGCTGCGTAATAAGGTGTCAGTTGAGGGTTTGCATCTAGATGGTGGGAAACTTGAAGTCGGTCGGCTGGCCACTTGAGTTATAATAGTATCTCCAAGATGGCCAGCTCAACAAAAGCAACGGGGAGAGGAAGAAAACAAGATCAAACCTACTTTCAGTCTCGACGATGTCGAGGTCTTGGAGTTGTGGTGTTGCGTGGGGGGCAACAGTAGGAAGAGAGAGAGGTCGATGAAGAAGTTGGGAAAAGGCGAAAGAAGTTGGGAAGAGAAGAAAGGTGGGAATTAAATAGGTGGCAGAGTGGGAGGCGCAATCAGAAAGAAGGGGGCAGAGGGCACAACCCCGTTTTTTATCACAAGACCGGAAGGAACCCAAGGATTTAGTTTTGTGAATGGTGACTTATTTATCTCGACACCGAATACGTGGAGTGAGAGAAAGATGCGAGGGCATTGGAGCTGACTTGCCCTACTCATGACGGGGATGGCATAGGCCAGGGCCGGCGGGTCTGATGTGTGACTTCTCGGCGACGACGACAGTGAAGCAAGGTCAGGAGTTTGTTGATATTATCAAGGCCAGACCCCTAAACTTCACAACCTGTCAGCCAAAAAAATTATACACTGGCCAACCTACTTACCCAAGGCACAAGTGATTTAGGGGAAGTAGAAGACTGACCTGTCAAGCACCCCATTCATCATCATTTTCAGGGGCAGTTTGCACCACACCCAACACATCACAGCATTAAAGATAGCCAGATAATCTGTGACAAAATGAACTTTCTAAATGACTGGCATGATGGTGTGAGTTCTACCTTGAATAAAGTTGTCAAGGTGTTCCTTTCTGTTTCAAGCGTTTAGGTGTTGTTGGTTTGAAGAGAGGAGGCTTTGTTTACATGTGTCAGGGGCTTCATTTAACCCTAACCCCCAAATTTGACACCAACCCCCTTTCACCCGTCATCTCCTTCGACACAACGGCTTGTAAGGTTCATAAACAAAGCAAGACAAATGGTAAAAGGAATTATTGATGTTTATAAAATGATGGGTTCTCTTCTCCTGAGAATGCTGCTAAAAATAGAGTGAGTCACTTGGTTGTCATGTAGCGCTAGACTTGGATAGAACAGACAGATAGAGTCACTCCCCTCGTATCGGCCATCAGAGCTACTGTCCCTTATCTAGACTGAACAAGCTATCTGGTTTTAGCTTGGGCCTTGGGCTTCAAGACATCACACAGCCCACACCTACGTGGTATCCTCAAACCTCAGGTGCTTCACCATGTGAATCCTTAACTGAAATGGGACTCCATATATAACGTCACTTTCGGGGCTGACTTCGGAAGGAATTGCAGGCCTTTCCTGATACCTATTTCAGTCCCAGCCTAGCCCACAAAGACTCGGATTTTCTTTTCTATCATGGAACCAGGTTGCTGGATTCCATCCAGTAATACCAACATTCCCGAGGCCTTGTAAATCGCCCGGTACCTTTAAGTCTATATGTTAAACCTGCTGTCATTCACTCCTAGAAAACAAAGACACAACCTTCTTCGTGGTCTTGGAATCCAATGTTGCCTTGTGGCGATGGCCAGCTCCCAGGGCTGACGCGTCATGGACTGTCTGCCACCGAACACAACCGACTGCTTTCCACCCTCCACAACCACAAACTTTCTTCCTGTTTCTTCAACCCAGAGTCAAACTCAGAGAATATCACAATTTGCGCAAGTCAAGACAAATAAACAAACAATCAAGCAATCACCAGGCAAGCATGTTTCTCTTCTACTGTCATATTATGTTGCCCTATCAAGTTTGCCATGTTTGCATCTTTGGGCCCGATCTGGTTTTCTCCAGTCGCTCTCCTGCCCTACTCGCGAGTCTTTCAGAGTTACGCGCAGCCAGGCTGCGTATTTCTGTCCTTCTCCGTCCTCTTCTTCTCGCTTTGTCTTCCCTCTTCCTCCACCTACCACAAACTCAAACTCAGACTCATAACCAGTCATCCTCCAATCGCGCGCAAACATAGCCTGCACTCGGGTATTCCATTTCCGCTCTCCATTCACCTGGCATACTGACTCTCTTAAACTTTGGTTGGCAAAGGGATTTTAAACCTGACGCTGGCTGGCCTTCCTCTTTCTCATTTCTTTTTCCCGCAATCGCTCCCTAGCCTCTCGGCCATCGACAATCCAACCTGACGTCCTTCATTTTGCAAACTAGCAAAGACATTTACAGCAACCAATCCGGCAAAAAGGCCTGGCCATCGATACCGAAGCCTAAGTTAAAGTTCCCTGCTGTGCTGCATCAAGCACTCTGCAGCGGGCAAGGTAGAA